AATACGTAAACTCGTTCACCCCTTGAAGTTTGAAGTTTTGAGAGACGAAAATAAGTACGAGTTCGCGTCCCGGTGTCGGAGGAGATTTTAAATTCCCCACCCTATAGCCTAAACGGCGAGGTAGGGAAGGAAAAAAAAAGGTAAGAACCGGGCGTATAAGAGTTTTGTATATGACCAGTTTAGTGCCCCTGGTAATGGATCTGCTGCGGAGAGTTTTCAGTAAGGCAAAATATACTCTATTTGCTGCCACCAGCCTTTTCCTTATCTCAGCAGAGACATCCTTTATTGGAGTTACTAGAGATTCCAAATACGTAAACTCGTTCACCCCTTGAAGTTTGAAGTTTTGAGAGACGAAAATAAGTACGAGTTCGCGTCCCGGTGTCGGAGGGGATTTTAAATTCCCCACCCTATAGCCTAAACGGCGAGGTAGGGAAGGAAAAAAAAAGGTAAGAACCGGGCGTATAAGAGTTTTGTATATGACCAGTTTAGTGCCCCTGGTAATGGATCTGCTGCGGAGAGTTTTCAGTAAGGCAAAATATACTCTATTTGCTGCCACCAGCCTTTTCCTTATCTCAGCAGAGACATCCTTTATTGGAGTTACTAGAGATTCCAAATACGTAAACTCGTTCACCCTTTGGAATGTGCATGGGCCAACACTCAGTTCCTCGTTACCACCAGTCCCTTTATGCATGTATTTCGTTTTTTCCTCGTTTATGGCCAATCCCATGGCTGAAGCAGCGTACATGAGTTTTCTAAACCAATGCAGATAGTGCCCTGTCTACGATATCCAGATCGTCAGCGTATCCTAATATCTGTACAATAAGAGTGAATATCGTGTGGTCCGTCTGGATTCCTGAATCCCGCACAGCCTTCTCCAGTGCAAGATTGAAGAGGAGACACGCCAGTCCATCATCCTATCTTAATCCTTTGTTGCAGGGAAATGCTTCAGAGCAGTCAGATTGAATCCGTACCTGACAACTTACATCTTTCATTGTTAACTTGACGAGACGTATCAGTTTGTATGGGATACCCATTTCTCCCAATGCCTCATATAGCTTAGGTCGTTTCATGTTGTCATGTGCACTCTTAAAGTCGACAAACAGGTGGTGTGTAGGAATTTTATATTCATGACTCCGTTCCAAAATTGTCTTAAGGGTGAACACTTGCCTTCGATCGAGCCTTCTCCTAGTCCTAACAAATACATCCTAAAAAGGAAAAGCTAGTCAATCACCGATCACCGATTTCAACCACTGAAGATATTGTGTCGACTGAAGTTGCATTATGCATGTTTTTAGTACAACTCTGGAATTTCTATCTTTTTGTAACTAATAGGTGTGAAAAACAACACCAACTTGCTTAAAGTTAGCTACCATTCTTTGATATATGTCTGCGTTTTTACCACCTACGTGTGAAATGTAGTATTAGTACTTTCATAAATTTTAAATATTTAGTTATGATTGAAAAATCTTACCATAAAGCCTTTTTTCTCAAATATTGAGGTAAATTACAAAGGAATCCGTCCACGTTTCGGCAATTCAGGCATAAATGAATTCAGGAGAAAAGAAAATTCTAAGACCAAATTAATCCATGAGATACAAATATATCGATGTTCTGTCTTACTGATGCCTGAAGTGGTGAAACATTTATGAATTATCTTGTTCTTTGCCTGCATATTTGAGACACAAGGCAGTTTTTTTTTCAATTATAATTTAGCACTTAATTTTTGTGAGCATTTACTCGTTATGTTAGTAAAATTTAGAAGGAAATCTATCTCAAACATTTACACAACGGTTTATTGAAAAGAACACTTTTTCTGAAAGATACGATTATTTAATTGAAAAAAATCAAAATTGTTTGTAGTAGCTTACATAAAGCGGTAACACATTGTCATTTCTTAGATTATAAACTGGCGTTCAAAATTATTACGTTTTTTGTCTTAATCGTAGTATGAATACCTCTGCAAATGTAATTATATGCGTTTAGCAATTTTAAAATTGCTCATTGACTCCGAAACTATGGATTTTATTGAAATTATTATACAAAGTTAAATAATGTAAACTCTACTATCAATGATATACATAATTATTTATTTAGAACACGACCCTGTCCGGCAATAGGAGTGTTTTCCATAGTGGATAGCCAAGCAAGCATACATAACTATCCACTACTGCAAACAAGACAATTATCATATGTATATGTTTTATTTCTTCTTTTCTGGCTGCACACACAGTTCCTCTTCTTACTTTAGCTACACTAAACCTTTATCTCCTATCCTCTCTTGTGATCTTTCTGGCGGAGCGTCTTCTCTTCTACCAAATTCGAAGTGGGCTGGACCAATTACTTCTTGGCCTTGTAGTACGGGTAATTCTCTTTGGCCAATAGCTGAGGGAGATCGCGCTCCGTTAGAACGTAGAGCTCTGTCACCCTCAGCAACTTGGGCCTTAGGTCCTCCTAGGCCGTACAGACAAGCAAAGAGATGCTTGGCGGTCCTCGGTACCCAAAGCATGGGCGTACCACATCAGGAATTGTGAGACCCAATAGTTCGGGAGGGCCCATATGGTTTCCGTTATCCTTCGGGGTTTTCACATATCGGCGGTCCCATTCTTCCAATGTCGTCCGGAGAACCCTCGTCAATCTGCTTGGAATACTTCCGATTAAGACCTGTCCCGCCTCATGAGACACTGTCTTAAACGCGTTAGTGACTTGAAGCAGAGTCATCCGCTGAATCGTCGTCAACCTTCTCTTCTGTTGATTCGAGAGATTTTGACTTCATGAAGGAAACGCTTATCTCAGGAAACCCGAGATCAGCTTTTTATAAATTGGCAAAGTGGCTGGGTATCTAACACCCAAAAAGTCGGCTCTAATGCGACTGAGTCCATTAAGGGTCTGAAGTAGTCCAAATATTGAAGTTAAAGTTTTTGTTAGTTCTTAGCTGGAGATGAATGACAACCACACTTGGCCGTACCGTTTCTCCCTGTATATTAAGACTAATAGGGTAGGCTCTATCAGTCTTATCCCTCAAATGAAAGAACTGAGCCTTCTTCAGCTTTTTCTATCTCGAAATTCTCCTACTTGGTTGGCACATTATTCAGCTTCTTTTTTTAAACTAACTTTTCTCTTTAAAGCCAAATCTTCTACATGAGCCGTGATGGAGAACCACTTGTCTTCTAGCACCCAGTGATTCCACTTCAAAGAATCTACCTTGTATCATCTATTTCCGGTTCAATAGGTAGCTTTTCAACATGGGAGCTTTATACTTTTGCAACTGTTGGAGTACGCTCGGCCACCAAACACTATCGAGTGCGAAGTATATCTCAAACAGGAGAGCACACTTCTCCTCCTTCAACGCCACAGCAGAACACCTGCGATTCTTTGGCCTTTACTGCGTTCATACTCCTGTGGATGGCAAGCTCTTGAGAAGTCTGGCCGCAGGCTCGTCATCAGTAAAGTTTCCAATTTTTCTTATAATAGGGAGGAGACAGTAATTGTTCATTTGCCGTGGATCGACCCTGGAGTCGAGAGACCTTCCTGGGGTAAATTCAGCCTCTATAAAGTGGATATCTTAATTAAATAATTAACTAAAGGGAGTAACCTGACGGTCGCAATCACATCCCTGCACAACCGTTGGCCTTGTAACAGTACTTCCTCACATTGTACTGCACCCAAGACCCTTTAACGGGTTGTAGTGGTACAGGTTTTATCTCCTCCTTTACAACGGAGCCTTACGTCAGCAATTTCGCAGGATCTTGGAATGTTTTTTAAGATATATAACATAATATAGGAATAATAATAATTAAACTTACATACGGGATTTCCGAACTTGATAAAATATTTCATATATTGAGGATGGCCACTTAACGTTTTTAGCCCATTTAAGGTGTGTTAGATTTTATACATTCCTTTAAATTTCTAATTAAGGTGAAAACAGATCGCTGAATCAACAAAGTTCTAAGAAAAGTATTATTTGTATACTTTTTTCACACATTATTCATTATTAATCATATTATTATTATATCTAAGATAATGGATTGGTTGAAGAAAGAGAGAAACGCTAAGTGACAGGTGAACCTATCATCAACTACACCCTTGTAGTTATCGATTATTATATCGCTTTCGCCTAAACAGTATTAGGCGTCACATCAGACGTTCGCTGCATTTCAAATCAGGCTGACATGACTTCTCGAGTTATAACTCGGGCCATCAAAAAGAATATATTTTTTACTGTCTCCTCAGTTTTGGGAATATTTCCGTTCAGGGTCATTAGAAATGAGATGCAAATGGACAAGATTCTTCTTTTGTATTCTTTTGTATTGGCATTTGTTAATACAACCTTATTTTTCTATACGTTCATCGAGGTATTTAAACTTTTTAAAAATGTCTACAAAGGAGATACATTTAATCATAGCATAGCTATGATTCTTTTTGTGTTACGTTCTGTATTTTTCTTTTGTCTTATATCCTGTATTTACTATCACGGAAAGAAACTACTCAAAACCGTCCAGTGCTTAGATAAAATAGAGGACAACTTCCATGGAATAGAAATCAACCTTAAAAGGACACCTCTTCAACAAATGATGACTTTATTTGAAATCTTTACTCCTCTTGTTTGTGGTGTCGTCTTCTATATCCGGGGTAACACATGGGGTGATATTTCCGTTGCAATAATTTACACTCTAGTCAGTTTCGAAATGACCTTAAATAGTGGCCAGTTTATTTTTTTTGTAGAAACTGTGACTGATTTTTTGCGATCCAGCTTAAATTTTCTGATGCAAATCAAACCTCCACTTCCCTCCAAGGAGTTGATGACTTTGAGAAATATCGTGGACGCTGTCAGTCAATTAGTTTCGATTTCGACTGAGATCAACAACATTTATTGTTTACAAATATTAATTTTTTTCACTATCGGCTATACTTCTGCAGTTTCCCATGTTTATTATATTTACCTGAATATCCAATCAAACGATGAACGATACCAAGCTCTTATACTTGGAGACGTACTGATGAGCCTTTACTTCCTTTTCGTGGTTGCGCGCTTGGCTCATTCTGCTGCCCAGGCTCGTTACAAGGTTCGTAATTAACTTTTATTAAATCTAATATTATTTCAGGATCCTAGAGCCTAAGGGATATAAATGAATTTTTGAAAATATAGTATTAAGTGCATGGCTAATCTAGAAATTCGTTGTTAATCGATATTCCAGTACTACGATATAGTTCCAATCACATACTAGAAGTATTCATGCAACCAGTGTATTATAAACTTCTAAAAAATGTGTAAAATCAAGAAAATTATTTACGAAATATGTGTGTAAATATGGCCGCTGGCAGTAACGATTTTAACGCAGTCTAGGGCCATGTAAAGTATTGCTAACTTCGTAAACACACGGAGAAGATTATTGTAAGGTTTTGATGTGTTAGATACTTTGTTCTTTAGTTGTGTATATAGTCGATGCTCCTTTCTATGTAACTAACAAAACCCTACATCACGACTTCAACATCCCATTCGTCCTAGACCTTATCCCAGAAAAATTCTCCAAATTTCACCAGAACCTTACGCACCACCCAAATCCTCTTGCACAATCCCTATCAAGCACCTCCCATCCCTATAATCCTCCATGAAAGTTGAAACAGCAGTGGCCTCGCGACCTTTTGTAGATTGTGTATATTGGAATTCTGGCAATGACCAGATTCTTCACTCAAGACAACTGTTCTCGATCAATCTCCGCTGGCTTTAGTACCAATGAGGAGTTCCCTCGCCTGATTGTATATAGTTTGCATGTGTTTTTTTTGCTTAGTTTTAATTTTCTTATTTTTTAGGTTATTTTATTATCTATTGTATATACTTTTGATTATTATTTTGTTTCTATTTATTTTATTTTTTTTTTTGTTTACATGTACTGAATCTGAACGGTAATCATAATAAAATTTAAACTATCAATCACCATAATTGAAAATATTAAATATTTGTGGGTTTTCTTATTTGTTTATAAGATACGAAATTATGTGTTTCAGTCGAAGGAATTCAACAAGCTGCTCTACCAGCTCATGATTGAAGACACGACCAATCAATTATTACATGATGTAAGTATTACTTCCACTTTTAATTTAAATTGTTCTTGTTGATGTTAATAATTTCCAACATTTACCATGAAATATGCAGACTTATATTTTTAAATAATATATACAAAGGTAATCTAGTTTTCAAGAATGTAGTCCCGAGGTTTTTCACGTGATATTTCGCCTACTATTGAGGCATTTATTGTCCTGTAGATTCTAGATAGATTGCCGCATCATCTACATCGAGCTACTTGCCCCGCCCATCTTAACCTACCTGCCTTAATATCATTAGATATTGATTGGCCAGTATTTTTAAGCAGCTCTTTGTTGTTTTTATTTTTTTTTTTCTGGTCCTAGAACGCTCCGGTTATTGTGCGAAGGATTTTTCTCTCAAATCTTTCAATATCTTTTTCTAAGACAGTGGTTAGTGACCATATATTACAACTAACTTTATCATATCATTGTCCATCCTTAATTTGAAATTTCTTGAGATTTTTCGAGATTTCAATAACTTTGAAAGGGAGAAAAACACTCGGTTTGTGCTTGTTATACGCATTGTTCATTCATTGAGGTAAACTTACAATAGATAAACATATTAAGATTTAATTTTGAATGATGATAAGTGAATAAATGAAATAAAATATTATCTATAACTATAAAAATTAACAGGGGTTCCATTATTTACCAGGACAAGCTGAAGCTGCACATTTCGATGAAGAGAGAGGTGATGTTCACTGTTTGTGGATTGTTTAACTTGGACTACACTTTGCTGTGTTCGGTAGGTATGGTTTTAATCGATTTAATATTTCGATTCTATATACTTATTGTATCTCGAATTTTCATCTCTGTCATATTTCATTCTCATAACAACTACTTTGACAGATTCTATGTTTCGAAGAGATACAATTATCATTAAAAATGACTTGCAAATCAGTTAATCCGAATAAAGTAGTTATAATTTTTTTGTATGTGTCAAAAGGAAAAATCAACCTTCGATAACAGAAATGTTTATAAAAGTCTAAGTCTTGAAATATGTTTTTAGAATAAAAGTTACTTTTAATAATTCTTTTTCTTAATTTTTTTTTTTTTTTGTTTTTCTGTTTGGATTACAGACCTTGTAGATCTTTTGTCGCTTTAACAAGCCTGCTCCATTTCTGCCTGTCTTGCGCTATTTCTTTCCAGTTATCTGAACGCAGTTCTATTACATCTTTATTTATTCTATTTATCTATTTGCTTTTTAATCTTCCACGTGGTCATTTGGCTTCTATTGAGGCACTCATTGTTACTTAGAGGCTTCAAGATGGATTGCTACGAGCTACATGCCCCTTCCATCTTAACCTCCTTGTCTTTATATCATGGCATATTGATTGACCAGTTTCTACAAGCAGTTCTTTATTGTTCTTTCTTCTCCTTGTGTTAGTACTCTGATCCCAGATCGCTCCGATGGAGGATATTTCTCTCAAATATTTCGACTCTTTTTTCTAAGGTGCTGGTTATTGTCCAGGTCTCACAGCTATATATTAGAACTGGCTTCATCATAGCATTGTACACCCTTAATTTGAGATTTCTTAAGATTTCAATACCTTTGAAAGGAAGAAGAATTAAGATTTATTAAAACTGATAAATAAATTAAAAAATACTGAAATACCTGAAGCATCACGATAAGAAATACTTCTTTACTATGATTTTCCTTCCTGTTCCAGATGATCTCTTCAGCTACAACATATCTGGTCATCATGATCCAGCTGGGTGAACCAATCGATATAGATTTTACCTAAACGTCTTCGGTCACTTCACCCGTGGAGCTAAGGATGTAGGAATATTCTAAGCTCCAAGACTTCACCACTGTTCTGTCGACCACCACCTAAAGGTGCTCTCAAATGTTTGTTCTAAACTACAGGATGTTTGTTCTATCACGGAAATTTCGTTATTTTAGAATGTATTTTTTGCTCTTAATATATTCATTTTTTCATTAGTGGTTCATTTTATATTTTTTCCTCATTACCAAAATCAGGAAAGCTTTGCATTCCTGGACGAGGTAAAAAACAAAAAACTGTACTCATGATCTTAATGCTCTACTCGCGTTTTACCGAATTTTATGAAATTTTCAGATATTGTACAGATTGGTCCATATCAATTTCTTTAAATTATATCCAATTCCATGTACAATAAATTCATCCATGTACACATAAATGCATTTTCTTAGATACGTCTATATTCCAGAAATGACTCGTTCACTTCTCGTTTTCCAGCTAAAAACTGGAAGGAAGTTGGGTGTTGGAAAAAAACAACAACTAAGCTGAGATTTATGAGTCAAAAACTTAGATTTATCTCAATATGAGTAAAAAAAAACGCTGCAAATGATTTCACAATGGTTTATTATCTCCAAAGAATTATACATCTAAAGTATCATTACCTTCCGAGTTACAAAGAAAACAAAACAAAAGGTGATTCCAATTATTGGACTAAACTGCTTTTCTTTAATCATTAGTAATATGCTAAAAAAAAATAGCATTATTTCAGTAACACATTTAAAATTTAAAAACCAAACAAAGGATATAACATTTGGAGTAGAACACATAAAAACAAACCAGGGACCATATCTTTGCTCCTAATTGTCCGATTTTAACTTTTTTTTTTTTTTTTTTTTTTAGGAATTTTTATAAACTTTTAAAAAAACATACAATAACCACAAAAAAGTAAAAACTTTTCGAGTTATTCGGAATTTAATTTTAACATCCCTCGTAACTTTTTTTCCAGCTTCTTTTCGTTGAAGTATGTTATAAAGATAAATTTAAAGGGCGTCGAGAAAATGACTTTAGCGAAGTTTCATTGAAATCTGTACATTCATTTAGGAGGTACAGTCTATAGCAACGCAGGTTTTTCGGCCGCCATTTTGAAAATTAAAGGCGGAGAGTAATGTCGATGAAGGAGGATCATCCTCGGGTGACCTCTGATTTTATATCAAAATTTGAAAAAATTCGGTCCAGTAGTTTCGGAGAAAATGAGCTGACGGCGGACGGCGGACGGGCAAAAAAAGTTTTATTCGTTTTTCGAATTCTAAGCATCTTGAAACGTGAAACCTCAAATTTTGAGAGAGAGTTATGTTTTTGAATTTTTCGGTCGATCACAATGTTTCATTATTGAAAATAATAAACCAAAAATATGTGATTTTTTATAACCTAAAAGATTAACTATTTTCAGCAAAAAGTAATACTATTAACTGTTGCAAAGCTTTTATTTCTTGTTATTCCCTGATCTGGGAATTATTATAATAAACGAAATCACCTAAATAAAATTTTTGATTTATAAAAACAAAATGTTAAAAATAATGATTTTCAAATATTTTTAATGCAATGTGGTTATATATCTGGTTTTCTCCCAGATTTCTATCATAGGAATTCTTATTTGTAAGTGACAAATTTAATGATTCTGGTTCTAAAATGTACGTTTTAAATATCGAAACCTGCTGATTGTTGCATTTATTTTCATGAATAGATAAACTTAGGATTAGGAACATTGAGTTTGTCACTTATAAATACGGATCAATCCTAACCTTACACTCTCAATCAGAATGTCAATAGTGCCTTGGAATGTCATTCCGACTGACAGTAAATTGTCCGCTTAAAACTCTCATCCACAGTTGTTTTTCAAACAAACTCGGGGTGTAGCTAACATGTTTTTCTGCTTGTGGTTCCAGTTAAATAACCTTATCCTGCAACTTTACATCGAATATTGTTTTCAGTGGGTGAATCTTGTTATTCACGTTAAAAAATTGATAAAACAAATTTCTATTTCTATTGATTTCTGATGGATTTGTCAAGTAAATAATCGCAAGTATTTAAAGAAATGATAATAAACTTCAATAGTTTCCATAACCAATGTGATTTCCCTCAATGATAATTGGTCCTATATCACTAAAATCAATTTTAAAACTTGGCCATGATCAACTCTGAAATTTTTAATATTAAATAAATGAATCAAAATGATCTAATAGTCAATATCATTTATATTAGAAGTCCTGAACAAGATTTCTAGTTAAAGCAATAGATAATTATGTAAAAATTTCAGCTTATTCGGTAATTTTATTAATTTGAATTTTTCCTTATTTTAGAAAGTGGTTTCGAATATTTTATATAAATATATATTTTATGTCAAAATATTGAATGTTTGGCAGGAGAAAGGAGAGGTAAGTGATAATCCAAGCTGTCATCAGAAAAATTCAATAGTCATCGGTCAATATAGCGTTATGACAATTCATTTTCTAAGACTTCATTCTATCCTGATATTCCGACCAATCACTTTAAATGAGTGGATGGTGGGCAAGCATTACCTGTTGTTTTCTTTGACAATGACCAATTTCTACATTCTAGTAAATTATTATAAATCTAGTATAATCGCTTATGTACTCTTATAGTGCCTATGTGATATTGATTAACAACAGGAATTCTTTTAATAACTCCACTTTGGTTGGTTATTTTCAGTAACGTTCCTTTCTGACTAAAAAAAAAAAAAAAAAAAAAAAAAAAAAAAAGCCCCATTTCGAAGCTGATACGTAGAATCCGAAAACCAAATTTAAAAAATCTGGTGCGCCCAACACAACTTTAACTTACCGATCTACTTTGAATAGAAATTATTTTCTGACTTTGTTGGGCTATTATAAAATTTAAAGCTTACAGATAACAAATCATTAAAATTACAAAACGTCAATTTATTATATCGATGGTAGACATTAAAAATCGAGTTACTACATCTGCTTTTATAAACGAACCAACTTCAGTCTCTCAACCTTTCAGTTGACAGAATGACTTTTTAACTAATGTCTCCAATTTTAACATTTTTGAGTAATGTCATTTTAATGATATTTCAAGTTGGAAAAGTTATATCTATACAGACAGTGAGTACGTTGATTCCAGAGTAGGTAATTGAGTGTTGAAATAAAGAACTGTGAATAAAGGTGTAAATTTTGCCACTTGAAATATCACTTAAATAAAAATAAACAATGGTGAAATTGGAGTTATTCATTCAATCGAAATAAACAACTAATCTATGAATCTATATATAATAAATCTATGAATATATGAAGCTCATATATGCTAAGAGACATTTGAAAGTACATCTTTATATTTAACCTACAAATTATTATGGATTGTAGAACTATTAGTTATCTTACATTGTAAAGTTTAAGTAAATGAAATTACGAGACTTTCATTGCTTACTGTGGATAGGTCAAAAGTTGTCACACTGATTGTAAGTGAATAATGTTGGGATTTCACAGAGGTGAAATTCATCAAATTATTCACTAATATAATTTTCTAAAACGTTACTAGATGACTTTTTGGAATAAACGGCCGATAGATACCTAATCTGACCACGTGGGAGGCCAAAAACTATATAGATAGGATAAACAAAGATACGGCTGAACTTCATGCCGCAAACTGGAAAGCAGTAGCCCAAGATAAGCAGAGGTGGAGAAGGAATTCGTAACAGTAGCGGCTTTGCTTAACTTGTTAGATTTTGTTGGATCCCTATCGTTGTTCATTGAGCGTTTTCTGCCAGTGACCAGTTTCTGGGTACTGTCACTATTTTCGGTTGAGTTTAAGATGACCATGTCGACAGTATAACTGCTAGGCGAGGCCGAATTCCAGATTACAGACAGAGAATTGGTTATATTGTTTGGAAAAAGCCAAAAAATAACTCTAGTTTCATCTTTTCTAACCAATGAATCTTTGAAAGCGCCTAAGCTCAGAAACGAAGTTATTTACAGATCAGCAGATTATCTAGACCTTACCAAGCATTAGTGAATCAAACTTAGTTCGAGCAGTCCCTACAGTGAGAGAAGAAAGTGAATAACTCCTGTGATCAAATACTCGCTTTTCAATCAAACGTTTTACAAATTTTTATTTGAAGTATCGTTTCTCAACATTTTGGAAACTGGCTTTGTTCCTGTCATGATTTGATCATTATTAACAAAGTTATGGGTATTACTACAATAAATTTGATTGTTTTCCAGCTAATACCTGCTTTCCAAAATAACAAAAAAGCTGTAAGTTAGAAGTATCGGCTCTAAAAAGTTACTTGGCAGAAATATGATAAAAAAATATGTATAGAACATTCCATTTTTGGCATAGGACTTTAAAAAAAATGAACTGAAAATATAAAATTTCTACTCTAAAACATCTAAATTATTCCTTCATCTATTTCCTTTTGAAACCCGTATGCTATTAGTCGCTTCCTTAATTTTTCTCCACCTTTGCTGTTGCTGTACGGTATATGGGGGCGTCTCTAGAGATCTCGAGGCGAAACTAAAACGTATAAATTGCCCAAGGGACGCTTCTGTTTCTCGTTTTTATGCGGAGTTGAAGTGACTTTATCCTTCCTACCGTCGTAAGTATTTTCCTGGCATCCTTCCTCTTTCAAGTTATTAAATTCCATCGCCCCTCATACATATTCGAGCTCTTTCAATTCAAATTCTCTATTCGTTCACGCAATACTCGTTCCCGGTCTTCTGATTTATACATAAGGACCCATGGAACCGCTGCTTTCGACAGATCGTTCATTACCCGCTCCTCATCCGTATGGAACTCTATCTCTTCCCACATCCGTCAATCCAATACCCTTCCTATCTTTAAATCCCGCCTGTTCAATCATTTATCATCCATCCAGTAACCATACAATTGTAAATAAATACTACTGTATTATATATATATTTACTCTCTATTTGTATTTATGTATCTCTGAGGCTCCTTACCT